AGCGCTTGCCTCGCATGCCTGAGGCCCTGGGTTCAATTCCTCAGCACCACATAAGCAAAAAGAAAAAAGCTGGAAGTGGTGCTGTGGCTTAAGTGGTAGAGCGCTAGCCTTGAGCTGAAGAGCTGAGGGACAGCGCCCAGGCCCAGAGTTCAGGCCCCATGATCGGACCCAAAAATAAATAAATAAAATAAAATTAGGCTTTTTCTTCCCTTTGTTTCCAGTATGCTAGAACCTATGTCGCTTAAATGCTACCACAAATTTTATCTAATAGGATTATTTTCAATTATTCTTATCAGTTTCTTAAAACTTACTATGAAAAGGTAATGTAGGTATCTCTACTATTGGAACACTTTTTATTATAGGAAGATGGGACATTCAATTGTTGAACTTGCCTGTATTGACAACTAAACTCAGTCATTTTATTTGACTATTTAAAAAGACAAAACCATGTGTGATTATAACAAATATGTCTTTGTTAGATGTCGGACTGAATATGAAGTTAGAGATCAAGTTGCAAAAGGTGATGAACCAACTCGAAAACGATTTCATGCATTTGTACTCTTTTTGGGAGAACTTTATCTTAACCTGGAGGTAAGAAGACTTTGTTGTTGTTAGATACTAATTCCTGGAAACATAAATTGATCTCAATAAGGAATTTATTTTCACATACTTTCAAATATCAAATGTACAAGAGGCTGAGGTGGGAGAATGGAGAATTCCAAGCCAGCTGAGGCTCCATAGTGGAAACTGTCTAAAAACTTTTCCTCAATTTCAAATGAAACAAAAGTAGTAGAGATAAGATATTTCAAGTACAGCTATTGAACATAGGTATTGCCTCATGTATTTTTTTAATAGTAAGAACACTTAAGCTGGGTACCAGTGGCTGTAATCCTACTCAGTAAAGTAATCCTACTCGTAAAGCTACTCAGGAGGCTGAGATCTGAGGATCACGGTTCAAAGCCAGCCCAGGCAAGAAAGTCCACGAGACTCTTATCTCCAATAAACAACTAGAAAACCGGAAGTGGTGCTGTGGCTCAAGTGGTAGAGTGCTAGCCTTGAGCTGAAGAGCTGAGGGACAGTGCACAGGCCCAGAGTTCAAGCCCCATGACCGACCCAAAAAAAAAAGAACACTTATAATACATTCTTAGCACTTGTCAAGTACATTGTGACTATAGTAATTATGATGTGCAACTGATATCTTGAACTTATTCCTTGTCTAGCCAGAATTTGGGGTCCCATGGCCAAAATCTTCCCAATCCCTCAATAATTTTGGCCTGTATTATATATTAATCTTCTACATAAAATTCTTTTGTATAAATGAAGCAGACGACCATATTTATAAATTTTTGATATTCTTGAGTATGTGCTTATTAACAGTATAAGGACTGAATGTTAATGTGTCAGATACTTTATTAGTAATCTACTTTATTAAACTCTTTGAGAATTTAATATCATAAACACATAACATCAGTACAAGGATAAATCAATCATCAAATGTGCATCTTCATCAGTATGTCTAAAAGTCTAGTCTGTACAGTTTCGTGCCTAATTCAGGGGACTTCATTTTAAAAAAAACAACTCATGCTAAGGATAATGGAATTATGTTGAATATTTCTTACACAGAAGTGATGATACTAGGAATGTGAGAAACATAAATGGCCTAACTGCACCTAAACCGCTGTAGCAAGTGAAACATTTATCTGAAATTCTCACACAAGAAAATGCTTTTAGGGTTAGGCCTGAAGCTTAGTGGAGTGCTTAGTTAAGTCCCTGGATTCAGTATCTAGCACCATAAAAGAGAACTAACTTACTTCCCTTTTTTTTTTGGCCAGTCCTGGGGCTTGAATTCAGGTCCTGGGCACTGTCCCTGAGCTTTTGTGCCCAAGGATAGGTCATTTGTGGTGCTTAATTGGAAGCAAGGATTACAGGTGTGAGCCACCAGAACCCACTTAAAATAGTATGAGAGAATTAAAATACTTGTGATCAGAATGGTGGTAGGACATGCTTAATGAAGCAATAATACCAAAGTAGACAAATTTTTCTAACCATTGTAGGTATGATAAATGACAAGTAAATTTTACTTGTAGTTTGCAGGGTTTTTGCTTATTTTTCCTGTCCTGAGGCTTGAACTCTGGGTTTGAACACTGTCCCTGAGCTCCTTTACTGAAGACTTTCCTTCCCTGGGCTGGCTTCAGACTACAGTCCTCATAGCTCAGTTTCCTGAATATCGGCTAGGATACAGGCACCAGCACCAGCTAGGAAGTTTTATTTTCATATAGAATAAATTGTGTGAAACTCTAGTGGGTGACACAATAATTTGTTAGACCATTTATATATCTGTATCGTGTTTTGACATTGGTCTAAATTTTTCTCTTGTTCTGAAAGATCAAAGGAACAAATGGACAGGTTACAAGAGCAGATATTCTTCAAATTGGTCTTCGGGAATTGCTGAATGCTCTCTTCTCTAATCCTATTGATGACAACTTAATTTGTGCAGTAAAATTGCTGAAGGTTAGTTTTTTACTTTTTATTCTAATTTACCTATTCACCCATTTAATTTACAATTTAAAGGAAGTATATATAGTACACAAATGAATCATTTTAAAGGTAAATATTTACATTTTATTTGTTTTTGAGTATATTGGAAAAGTAGTGTGCAACATACACATAAGGAAGAAAACTTAGAAGTGAGGAATGCAAGTCCTTTACCCATTCCCATCTATAATTCCTTTCTTTCCCTCTTGCATTCCAGCCTTTTAATAATTATGAAATAGGGCGCAGATTCTCTTTGACTACTTCCTGCTGTCACGGGGCGTCGATGTTAGGGGTAAAAGGCAGAAATGCAGGCCTCTCCCAGAGAAGGTAGCAAGCAGCATCTGTCCCTTGGTAGACATGAGTCCTTAGATGGAAGTCTGGAGGAAGTCTCTTGAGGCAGGGGCTGGACAAAAAAGTGAAAGGAAAAATGTTACTGAAAAGATTGGATGTCCATGGCTTGGAGGTGTGTGGAGAGGAGCTGGCTCAGTGTTACCCACTGGGATCTTCAGGGATGCTAGATAGCCTTACCTTGGTAGGCCCAAGTGTGTGTGTGGCGGGGGGGGGGGAAACAGGTGTACCTCCAAGTTAGTGTTGGTATAGAAGGGACAGGAGCAGGAGCTGCTTTTATTCTTAACAGATGAATGCCTGTCCCTTGAGCTTGACTGCCATGGGGTAGTCAGCAGAAACTGGTGAGGGCCTGTCCACTTAGGATGTAAGCCAGATGGATTAATAGTGAGAAAGACTTGATCCCCAGGCAAAACTGAGAGTGGGAAAGAGGCCTTGATGAGGCCTATAAGGAATGTGAAGATTCTACTGGATATTTAAAGAGGCTACCCCCTTGTTGGGTCACTTTGGAGATGAAAGCAGGTCCTTTGTCAGATTGAAGTGACCTGGATAAGCCAAACCTATAAATTTCCTTTATAAGGAAAGAGGCAACAGTGTCAGCTGTCTCTGACACTGTGGGATAGGCCTCAATCCATCCTAAAGAGGTATCTATCATAGCTAGCAGGTGTCTCATCTGCTTGAATCAAGGCATGTGAGTGAAGTCTGCTAGTCTTCCTCTGGGGTATGTCCCCATGCATCAAGCATGCAGGTCAGGGATCACCTGTAAGGATGTAAGGGAACAGTGGGGCAGGCTTAGGAAATTAGCCTTTAGTTGGACAGTTAGGCTAGGGCAATGGAGTAAAGGCTTGAGAAGGTTGGAGAGGCTTGTATCCCATGTGCAGTGCCTGGTGTACCTGGGAAAGAAAGCTGTCTGCTCGTGTCTCAGGAAGAATAACTCGTTCTTCTAGGTACCACCATCCCTTTGCTTCCTGGGAGGCTCCTGTGGGGTATAAGAGGGTTGAATTGGAGACAATACCAGAAGCAGGGGAGCTGACAGGTCTTGAAAGGTGTCTCTGGGCTGTTAGCTTTGCCTCCCAGTCTGCTTTTGAATTGCTGACTGTGATGGCACCGAGTCCCATCTGGTGTCACCAACAGTAAATGACAGCTACCTGTTGGTGTTGGGGAAGGTAACCACTACTAGGAGCTTAAGAATAAATGAGGCTTTAGAAATAGGGGTCCCTTTCATGGGCAGAAAGCCACGCTCCTTCCAGATGGCTGCATGTGAATGGAGAATATGATAGGCATATTTTGAGTCCTCCAACCCTTGGCTAGCGTTAAGGCCCTAGTTAAAGCTATAAGTTCTGCCTTTTGTGAGGTAGTGCCAGGAGGCAGAGGGCTGCTTTCAATAACAGTGCAGTCATTACTGATGGCATAGCCCCCAGTTTGGCTGCTGATGGGGTAGGTGTGGAACTAACATCGATGTACCGGGCGTCTTCTGGGTGAGGAAGAGGGGCTTCTGAGATGCCTGTAAAATGGGTTGTGAATCCCTCCAAAGTCTCTGTATAGGAGTGGGAAAGAGGGTTAGAATTGGATGGAATCAAGGTGGCTGGATTGAGAGGGTAACAGCTTTCCAGGGAGAAGTCAGGGTTTTCAATGAAAGTAACATGAAGCAGCTGTAAGGCAGGAAAGGGAAAGGGAAGACAGGGCTTCATGAATAAAAGGTCTGTTAGTCTGTGGGGGGAGCAAATGGTAGGGCTAGCCAAAATGAGTTTTGTGTTCTATGTTAAAGTGTTGCCAAAGCTTAAAGGTGGGGTGGAGGAAGGGTTGGCTTACCTTGTGGAGGGACAGTCGACTCCCCAGTGTCCCTTTTGGCCACACCTTGGGCAGGGTCCAGGTGGTGGTTGTGGTGAAGGACAGGCTTTTGCCCAGTGGCCTTCTTGTCCGCACTTGAAGCATGGTCCAGGGGGCTTACGTCGGGTGCCTCTTCTCCGGATGGCAGCAGCCAGGATTTCATAGTTTTCCCTCTTATGGGCAATCTTTTTCTCTTCCCGATTATTAAAAACCTTAAATGCCATTTTCACCAGCTCTCTTTGAGGGGTTTGAGGACCATCCTCAGCTTTTTTTAACCTTTTCCTAATATCAGGGGCTGATTGGGCAATAAAATGAGTATTAAGAACCACCTTGGCCTCTGCTGACTCTGGGTCCAGCTTAGTATAGCGTTGGAGCGCCACTGTGAGGCGTTCCAGAAATTCGGCTGGGTTTTCATTGGGCCTTTGGGTAATGTGGTTTAATTTGTCATAATTTACATTGTGATAGGCTGCTTTCTCCAGGCCAGCCACTAAGCAAGTTATCATCCTACTTCTGTTTTCCTTCCCAGGAGTATTACTTTGATCATTCCAATTGGGTTCTTCCCTGGGCACAGCTGTTGCTCCTACCGGGAAGTCATTATTTAAGCGGTGGGCTTCATCTGCATGTGCCTGGGCAGCAGTCCACACCCTTTCTTTTTCCTCAGCGGTAAGGGTGGAGGACAGTATTAGATATATGTCATGCCAAGAAAGGTCATAGGTCAGAGCCAGGAATTTAAACTGCTTGATGTAATTATTAGAATCTTGGGAATAAGATCCCAGCTGCTTCTCAATCTGAGCAATATTGAATATTGAAAATGGGGCATGCACTCTAAGGATGCCTTTAGGCCCTGCCACCTCTTGCAAAGGGAAGCTGGAGTTTGGTGGAGGTTGCCTGGAGTCAGTGCGGGTGTGAGCCGCAGGGAGGGAAAGGAGAGAGGGTGAAGAGGGGGAGGGCAAAAAGAAAGAAGGTGGAGAAGGCACTGAAGGCTCTGCCGGGAGCGGGGCAGAGTCAAAAAGGGGGTCAGACACTACAGGCTCAGGAGGGATGGGGAAGGCTGGGCATGACCGGCAGAGAGTCGGGCTATCCCGGAGAGCATAGGAAGCCTGAATATGAACGACGTCTGGCCATTTACCATTGCGGTGGCAAAAACCATCTAAGTCTCTGAGAATGGTATAATCAAAATTCCCATCTTTGGGCCATTGAGAGCGATTATCTGGTCGGTTCTGTGGCCAGACTTCAGAGCAATAATAAGTTAAGCGTTCCTTGTTGATAGAGTCCGTCAGGGACAATTCATCCAAGGTACGCGGGAGATGGTCCAACGGAGTTTCCTCCCTTGGGCGTGACTTGCAGCACCCCATTAGAAACGCGGGGGGAAATAGCTGGTGAGTGATGGAGGGCTTATTGGACGGAAGCAGCGTCCAGCTCCTCCAGTGCCCCCCTAGACAGAACCGGCCAGCCCCAGAACCACGCGTCCTCGGCTTGGAGATGCCCAGGCCTAAAGCCACGTGGAGCCGGGTCTAGTCAGAGAAAAACCAGAAAACCTGCACAATAATTCACTCACCAGAGCACAGAAGTGTGGAGGTGGGTGCAGAGGCCAGAAGTGGGGGTGAAAAGTCTCCCGTGGCGTCTCGCAGCAGTTCGGTGCGTGGAAAAGGGCCGTCAGAACTGGGATCCTCCTCAGAGAAAAGAAAAAAACAAAACAGAAAAGGGGAGGGGGGAAGCGGAGAGGAATCCGCCTGTCCTGACTTTAAACCCTTCCCAAGTTAATGCAACACCGAGGAAAGAGCACCGGGAGGTAATCCGAGCAAGGGAAAAGTTTATTCTCAAACTGCGCTGGCCACCAGCCTAGTAGGCACTCGACCTGGCATGTGGCTGAGAAAGGGGGCTTCCCTCCCAGGCCTTGTCTTATCTAGGGTAGGGGGCGGGGAGAAGGTGTGACCTGGTGAGGGGGTGGGTGTGACTAGGTGGGAGAGGATGTGACCTCAGTGGGTGGAATGTGACTGCCTCCAGGTGTGCCAGTTGCCTAGGTGATGCAGACTGGGTGGAGACTTAGCCAAAAGGAGGGAGGAGTCTGCCCTGCCTTCCCAGGGCAGACCTTACAGGGATGTAGAGATTTATTTCTGTAGTGTTACTTGTTAGTATTTGTTATATTCATAGGTACTGTTTATCCATTCCAGTAGTGAGCCTTTGTATTATTTTCAGTTTAGCTACTACAGCACTATTTCATTATGTTTTATGTGTATAGTGTTTTTTTTTCCTTTGTGCTATCTTAAGGCTTTGAACTCAGGTCTTGGACACTGTCCCTGAGCCTTTTTTTGCTCAACACTAGTGCTCTGTCACTTGAGCCACAGCTTTACTTCTGGCTCTTTTGGTTGTTAACTGGACACTCTTATGAGTGTCATGGACATAACTGCCTGGGCTGGTTTTCAGCCGTGATCCTCAGGTCTCAGCTTCCTGAGTAGCTAGGATTACAGGCGTGAGCCACTCAGAGACCAGCTATGTGTATCTATTTTTGTATACTGAAGTCCTTAACATAGATTTTTGTGGGGCAACTGTTAATTTAAATTGAATTTTCTTCCAGATGCTAAACCAAAATGTATTCCCAGCAGTACACCTTTTTTCTCACATCTTGTAATGATATACATCAATCCTAATTCTTGTTTTTGTAATAGGTAACGAATAAAAGTCTCTTTTCATTCACTTAGTCAGTGAATGTTCAGTATTCATTCATATGTTTATTAGCCAGCCATGTTTGTTTCTGTGAACTGCTTGTTTTATACTCAACTTTTACATATTCCTTTTTTGTTTTGCTCGATGATACTGGTGATAGAACTTTCGACAACTGCTTTACCTCTTGAGCTATGGTTTTGTCCTTGTACTATATTTGAAAAATGACATGCTTGTTGAAACATAATAGACTATCTAGTCTTCCAGTAAATATAACATATATTCATTGATGTGAAGCCTGTGTTTAATAACTAATATAATTCATTCCTTTCAGTCAAAAATATAGAAGATAGAGAAGTCTCTGAATATTAGATTAAGGTAGAGAATAAACCTGCTAAATTCATATTGTTTAAAGAATGCTTAAATAGCTACTACTAATAGTTTTAGAACTTCTACAGTATTGAATTTCTTACTTTACTGACACTTGCTTCTTTAGTTGACAGGATCAGTTTTGGAAGATGCTTGGAAGGAAAAAGAAAGGACTGATATGGAAGAAATTATTCAAAGAATTGAAAACGTTGTTCTCGATGCAAACTGTAGCAGGTAGGCAAATCACAATTCCCTGCTTTCTTTGGAGATTTATTTTTAATCTGGCATAATTCTCAGAATAACAGATTTTACAGATTGATCTTCAGAAATATTTTCCTTAAAGATGCAAAGGCTTGGGGAAAATATATTCATTGTAATCCTTTTTTAGTTATACATAAAGTTGAAAAAGTTAAGAATTTCCTGTAATAAGTTCACTGAAAATAAAGTTATTTTATTATCCTCACTTATTAAAGAAGTAACTTTATAAAGAATTCTAACAAATATAATAGATAAATCTTTAAAGGGTAGTCTTTAAGGACCATGTAGTCAGTTATGCAGAACAAACTTCAAAGCTTTATTTAAAAAGTAATAACTAGCTGGGTACTGCTGACTTTACCTGTAATCCTTGCTACCTGAAAATGGAGGTTTCCCCATTCCATGATAGCCAGGTAAAACAGTCCTAGAGATTCCATCTACAGTGAAGGAAACTGAATGTGGTGGCATATTTCTGTTATCCCTGAAGTGACAGGAAGCCTAAAAATAGGCAAATCAAAGTTCAGGAGTGCTCCTAGGCACAATGCAAGACACGGTTAAAAAATAACCATCAAAGGGTTGGGAAGTACTTGCCTTGCATGCACAAGGCCCTGGGTTCGATTCCTCAGCACCACATAACAGAAAAAGCTGGAAGTGGCGCTGTGGCTCAAGTGGTAGAATGCTAGCCTTGAGCTGAAGAGCTAAGGGTCAGTGTCAAAAAAAAAAAAAAACCCAAAAATCATCAAAAAGCAGATCTGGAGGCATGGCTCAGTGGTAGAACCACCTGCCTACCAACTGTAAGGCCCTCAAGTTCAAACCCTAGTACTGTCCTCCCCACCACCCAAAAAAGTGAGTTTATGTCATTTGTCAATGTCTAGCTAAATTTGTTAAGTTTAGGAGATAAAGTTTTGTGGGGTTTTTTTTGTTGTTGTTGTTGGTCATGGGGCTTGAACTCAGCCTGGGTGTTGTCCCTGAGCACTTTAGCTCAAGGCCAATGCTCTTCCACTTGAGCCACAGTGCCACTTCTGGTTTTCTGGTAGTTAATTGGAGGTAAGAGTCTTACAAACTTTCCTGTCTGGGCTGGCTTTGAACCACGATCCTCGGATCTCAGCCTCCTGAGTAGCTAGGATTACAGGCATGAACCACTGGCGCCCGGCAGGAGATAAGGATTTTTGAGTGTATAAAGTACTTTAAAGCTTGACATATTAATTCATTATTGTTATATTAATTCATTATTTTACTTTTGTCTACAGAGATGTAAAACAGATGCTCTTGAAGCTTGTAGAACTCCGATCTAGTAACTGGGGCAGAGTCCATGCAACTTCAACATACAGAGAAGCAACACCTGAAAATGATCCTAATTACTTTATGGTATGCCAGTTTTTCTTTCTTTGTTTTATTCATTTTCTTTCTTTTTTTTTTTTTGTCGTGGGGCTTGAACTCTGGGCTTGGGTGCTTCCCTGCACTCTTCAGCTCAAAGTGAGCACTCTGCCGCTTGAGCCACAGCGAAATTTCTGGTTTTCTGGTGGTTTATTGGAGATAAGAGTCTCACGGACTTTCCTGCCGGGGCTGGCTTTTAACCGTGATCCTCAGATCTCAGCTTCCTGAGTAGCTAGGATTACAGGCATGAGCTACTGGTGCCCAGCTCAGTTTTTATATTTTAAGTTTTT